CACAGCATGGGGTTTGGAACTGGATGATCTTAAGGTCCTTTCCAACCTTAACTATTCTATGATTCTATGAAGGTCTACAGTTCTGAAGAAGAAAGCAAAGCAGGAGGAAGTCTGGGAGACAGGAGGCACAAGATCCACAAATCCTCTAAACTTCCCACCCCTTCAGTTAATTCATAACGCATAAATGTTTTTTAGCAGTAGTATGATCAACTATTCTTACAGCTCATTTGAAAGAATTAAAAATGATATAATCTGCTTTCTTGTATCTGAAATGGATGCCTTTTTTTTTTTTTTCCACAAAAGATGGCACTGTGCTCAACTGAAGAATTCAATGTCTTGGCAGTGTAAGAGGTCAGACCAAACCATCTAATAATACTTTGTAGCATAAAAATCTGTGCATCTCTGACTGGATCAGAAATGGTTTGGTTTATGCTAAGAGGTATCTATCTAAATAAAACTACTAGAAAACTGTGAGAATGGAGGAGGAAAAAGTTCCTCTAGCAAGAAAGAAATTAATAAATAAAATCTCATCTCAAACTATTTTCCAATTCATAACCCATCCACTTCTAATGGACTATTTAAACATTTATTACTTTTTGTTCTTAAAATAATAATAATTCTTCCACTAAAATTATATTATCAGGATATTATATTTACATTGAGTCTTGCTGTTGTCGCTGTTCTCCCTCCTTTAATTACAACACATCTTGCCCAAGTACCATCCCTCCCTTAAAGAGTAAATTTTGCACACTGTGCTTAGTACCAGAAGTTACAATTTGTGTTGATACCTTATGCCCATATTAAGTTTGCTTTTAGTCTCATGCACATTTAGATTTGCACTGAAATAGGATAAACTTCTCCAGCAGCACGAGTGGAGACCTCCTGTGGCTGTTGATGTTGGATGAATGGCAACTGTAATTGCAGATCAGTTAAAGCTTGTTAGAAAACAAGACTAATAGATGGGAGCCTCTTACCAGCTGACAAGTACAACACCACATTTATTACTAGAAACTATATGAATTTTTTAACCTTGTGATATTATGAAATATATTGATTAGATAAACCTGTTTCATCACAAGAACAATCTTTAGATATTTACATATGAAAATTTTTTTTTTAAAATTAAGGTGGTTTAGATTCCATTATTAACATGGCAGTCCATTCTGCAGTTAGTCTTTTAAATACAGCTACCCCTTTTTTATTGATAGCTGCCAATAAACCTAACAGACAACTCTTTCATACAGGCTTCAACATGCAAAATCATTTCAAGTAGACATCCAGCTAGGGTAAATCACTTCTTATTCAGTGCAATTACAATTTATTCTTACCAATCCACATATATTTTCATGAAAATGGTTGTTTTGGAAAGCTATTTATCTCCCTAATATCTTGTATAGAAGGCCTTATAATCTGAATGCCTGTTTTAGTGAAAAAATCCTGTTTAGTAGGTAGAGAAGTAGTTTAATAGGCCAGCAAAGGATACTGTACAACTGTTGTATGAAAAAAGGAAGAAGCAATGAAATCGATGGAAATGAAGTAAAGAAAATACTAACAAATGTTCTAACATAAACCATGACTGCATGTATGTTGGAATAGTTTTGATAGTGCACCATTCTTAATATTTTGGCTATAAATACACTGCTATTGCTTGCTATAGCTTAAGCAGGACAGCTTTCTTGTATGAACGTTTGACAGAAATTGAAATTAATTAAATCTTACAATCAAAGTATTAGCTCTTTATTAAACCCGAAGCTGAACTCAGAATTACATTAAACCATGAAGAAATGAAGTGAAGACTTAAAAAGTCTCCATGTCTCTTTTACTGAATTCTGTATAAAGCAAATAGCAAACCTGGTGAAAAGTCAATTAATTTTAAATTCTGGGTTTATCTAAGACAAAGTTAATGAAATTGACTTATTTTATATATTAGACCTGAAACTGTTTTGTTTGTTTCTTTTAACTTAAGCTAGATGTATGAGAAATAGATAACATCAATAATAGAATTAATTACCTTGTTACAGAAGGCAATGATTTAATCAGTAAAGGTGAATAACAACAAAACAAATGAAGTTAGCAGCTGAAAAGACTGAAAAGGACTAGTACCTCTATGGCAAAAGAATAGAAAGCTTGTGATGATCACAAGTGTTAATAAGTAAATTCTTATTAATTTCAATAGTCTTTGTCTTCATATGAAAATTCTCCAAACTAATTCAAAATTTAGAAATATTTTCAGAGTGTTATACTAGCAAACCAGCCTGGATACATTATTTTGATGACTCCAATAAATTTGCTATGCAAAAATGAAAAATATTGTGATGGTTAAGATCAAATGAGAATCACAAGTGAAACAACCTCTACCTATCTAAAGTGCAATCCAAATAAGACACCATGTTGCTCTATTCTGTTTAATTATGCCCTCTAGTAAAATGAAAACAGACTTGTTTCTTTAAATTTACAGTTTAAGCATAACCTTTTCTGTTTCAATTAACTCTTGAATATTTCAGCTGAGCCTTACATACCACCAGCCTAAAACTATAAAATCTAAAATCATGTTGTGTCCCACTTCCTTAACAAGAAATGAACTTCTAATATATTCTAATGTCTCATACTTACAGAACTATACCATACATAATAGCACCTTAAAAAACAGAGGATGCTATTTTAATGTTAAAAATGCAATTTAATACTTGTACTTTAATTAGAAGTATTTTTTCCTATCTTAAAGGCAAGCTCATACAGCAGTATAAAAGTTACTTAGAACAACTACCCCAGGATGTTTCATTGGCACATGAACCAAGAGAAAGATGTTGCTGAAAGCATGAACCTCACATATTGATAAATTTTGACAAATTTTACTTCTAATTTTGAAAAAAAAAAATCAAAACCATTTTGAAGTTGAAAAATATAGCATGGAGTTTTGGTATAATTCAAATAATTCTAGGACACCCAACTTCAAGGTACATCTACTGCTCTTCATTTGTGTTTACTTGGTGCATTTAAGCCTCACCTGATTTCATATTCAGTTAAGTATTTCCACTGACTGAATTGTGCTGTTCATGACTAAAGGAAAACTTAAGAGCATGATAATCAAAACACAAAAATGCATTTGTTCTTATCTGACTAAGGAAAAAACTAGCATGATCTCTAAACCAGGAAATACTTGTACTGAAATCTAGAATAATTTAAAACAACTAAGAAAAATAGGAATACTGTTACCATTTAAGTATCGTAATTTCAAATTTTTAAGAATGGCAATTTCAAATTTCAGCCTACCTAGAAGACCTATTCCTTACTTAGAATTATTAAATCACAGAATGGTTTGTGCTGGAAAGGACCTTAAAGACCATCTAGTTCCAATCCCCTGCCATGGGAAGGGACACCTTCCACTAGACGAGGTTGCTCAAAGCCCCATCCAACCTGGCCTTGAACACTGCCAGGGACGGAGCATTTACTACTTCTTCTGGTCAATCTGTTCCAGTGCCTCACCACTTCTGCCTATAGAAAATTATCTGTTTTGCCTGTGCTTGGCAATCATAGTCAGGCGAAAAGCTACTGAAATATCTTCCAAATAAGTAAAATGACAAAGTAGTTTAAAGGAAAAAAGAAAACAATGAACTTCAAATCTTGGTTTTAACTGAATGAATCTGAAAGAGGAATGTTTGGGTTTTTTTTCCCAGCAACTCTGTTCTTCTATTAAAATAATGTAAAATACACACAGAGCTTAATATACACTTTTTTGATTTTGTAACTTGAAGATAAGATACTCTGTTGCTAGCTGAAAGATCCCACTACGTTACTGGGTTTTATACAATTCATAAATTGCAACCTTTCACAATATATATTTTCAAAAATAATACTACACAGGTTTTGGATTAAATAATACTTTTTATATTGTACAGAAACCTTGTATTTATCCATACCACCTTTGTATTTATTCATACCACCTTAAAAATCAAAATAGCGACTTTGTCTGATCATCCAAATTATCCAATGCTATCATAAACATTCATCATAATTCCAAATAGAAGAATATTAGATTTTTACTCATTACCTTTGGTAAAAATAAAGTCCCCTTTGGGTAGCCATGAATCTGTATTGTTAATGACACTTTATCCCCGTCACTATGTTTACCAATTATTCTTACTGTTATGTTTCACAGTTCTCTTCCCTATTACTTCCAAGTCTCTACATTGAGACTAGAATACCCAGAATTAGGTAAAAGTATTCATTAGTGCTATACAGCAAAGGTAGCCTAGGTATAAGCCCATTTTCCTAACTGAAATACAGGCTGATTGAGTAAGCTTTTAAGGGCAAGTTTTGTGTTTAAGTGATATTATCTATCACAGTTGTAACAGAATGCATCTTCCCACAGTACTGTAAGACACTTCCCCCACAGATTTTTAATCTGGAACAGACTTTGGAGACATACCATAGGTTAAGTAAGAACAAATTGTTAAAAGGTAGTATCTGAGTATTCTGAACAATTGGAAATATTTTGGAATAAACTACGAAGCCTACACTAATATTAAGCAAAGAAACCAAACAAATGCAGGGAAGTTACACATGTAACAGTCATAATTTATCATTTACATCTAACATAGTTGTACTCAACAACACTGTGGTTTTCTTAAATTTCCAGATTAAATACAAAATCTTAGCTCCTAACCTGACAAATATTCAGCTCAGACAAACTATTATGTGAGCATTCCCAAAGCATTCACTGATACTACATGAATGTAAAAATTTAACCTGTGAAATGTAAATATCTGCAAGCTGTCAAGAGAAAGGCCTGCCTTGATGTTTAAATTTGCACAATATTTTTACTCCTGTATCTTACTTTATATTCTTAATACTAATTTTACAAAAAGTACTATATAGTACTTATTCTGACAACTCAATAGTGCTATACATTCTGTCACAAAAACCTTGACAGTCTGCAAGAACATCTGAGTAGATAAGAAATTAGTCTCAAAGATTTTGCATTGGTCTCAAATACTTACTGTTGCTGGGGAGGCCCGTGTTGTATGAGTCACTGAATGACCAGAATTTTCCATTGAATTGCCAATCAGATAGGTCCCTCCTGAGCTGCTAATAAGCTGTCCTCCTGTGACACCCATTTGAATCCCTCCAGTGCCCACCATGCTATGAGACGAGACCACTGTTGTCACCTGTGCAGAACTTCCTTGAGTATCGAAATAGTTTCCCCCAGTGTTTTGGCTGTACATCTGGGTTTCTGTGTAAGGATAAGTTGTTGATCGGCTTCAAGAAAAGAAAACAAAAGGAAAAGAAATTATCTGTATTGTTCATTTAGCTGAGAGAAATGTTATAATTCTAGAAACGTGTGTACAATAGCTGTAACCAAATTAAGTAAGATTGGCAAACAATCCCTGCCTCCTCAGAGAAAAACATTTAATCAAGTCAAGGCACTAAATAAATAATTCAGTGACAATGTTAAACCATGTATCCACCAAACCTTCCAGAAAAATTTGTCAGTCTTACATTGAAGTGAGAAGGTAATGGAAGTATGACAAAAATTGAGGAGACAGATTTAAGAAAGAGCTCGTATGATTACTAATATAATGCAAAGCAATTTGTAAAGTTCCATACTTTTTATCTGACAACAAAACTGAATTTTAGTCAGATGTCATATATTTTGCATACTGTGCATGTTGCAACATTTCAAAAAAATGATACAAATGTCAGCCAAGAGAACCAAATGTTCGAGAATCCTACATGATCTATTGTCTTTAAATTCATGAAAGTTCTTGGCTGAAACTTCAAATTCTGAGTTCACTGGTATTTCTGGAAATGCAATTATTTTTACAAGGTGAATTGAAAATAGGATAAGAATGCACGATGTGATGAAGGAAAAAAAAATAAAATTAAGAAATAAAACCAAAACAGAACTATGACTTACAAAAAGGTCACAAACATGAAAGAAGTTAGGAGTATGCATTAGTAACACTTTTAAATCACTTTAAACTCTGAAACATTAATGCCTCATTAAGCGGTTTACCCTAACTATTCAGCTATTGAAACCTTCAATCATTCTTTCATGTTCTTAATCACGTCACTACTCTTCATAGTTCATAATCAATTTACAGTTTTTGAATATGTATTTGTTCCCATGTACTAAATTTTTATCTTCTACATATTTCAGATTTGTTAAGTAAATAGCATTCATTATTTCAAAGGCCTGATTCCTCATTTCGGAAAAGCCTGTTTGGAAGTTTTATCCTGTTTCGCGACTGCTAAGCTTTGTATCTTGGCAAGCATAATGATAGAAAGGTCAAAATGTAAACCAAGTCAGTTTACTCAACCAATAATTTTCTTCTTTAAGCTTAAAACCCCATAATACTGCTTGCAATCAACAGGCAACACCATTTTCAAATTCAAAGTTTTCTACTAACTTGGAGCTGCATATGTTGAGATGCACTTAGTCCAAGTAAATAAATCCTATAAGTATGATTCAGAGAAAACAGAGAGGTGACCAGTCTCTGTGTAAGTCTCTAATTTATTTAATATCATCAAAAAACCCACAAAATCATGCAACACCATGCAATTAAACAAGTTCAACAAAAAAATTCACTTTTGTCCCAAAACACAACAAAAGAAGGAAGCAGCATCCAACTTTTATGCAGCTGGTGATTAATATACTTATTCAGGAATTTGAAATCAGTCTTTTTTTTTTTTTTCCCTTTATATAGACAGGGATTAATTAGTTTCTTATCTATATATAGAAAAGGCCATGGCATTTTATTATTTGTTGTTATGGCTTTTTAATTATGAAAACTTACACTAGAGTAATCAGTACACAATGGGCTCAGAGAGAACAATTACTTCTTTAGCTCTAGTAAACATGTAGATAACTCAAGAACATACAGTACCTTATCAACAACTGAAGTCAGAACTTTAGTTGTATTCACATACAGTTTCTCCCTCTCTCTTCAGAGACTTTTGGAATCTCAAAAACTTTAATCTTAAGATCCTAAAAGTTTCATAACCATCATACTGTATTATTTGCTCTCAGCCCTCCTTAAGCTACTTAAAAATTTTCCTTTTTATTTTGAGCATTTCAGAAGCCTCAAGGTCAGATGCAGAAATGCCTTTCAGCCTACTGAAAACAAAAGGGACTAATGACCAAACAGACAGCTTAATTCATTAACATTTACTCAGGAGAGTTAAAATTAGTTATCTGTGCTTTGTAATAACCTCTGTATGTATTTGGGTACCATTCAGGTTCCAACTAATCTGTTTTATCAAGCCAAGGTATCATTGTGATACCTTTTGGTATCATTATGGTATTGTTTATCTTATGATGTGCAAGGTAACTGCTAGCAAAGCTGGTGTGGCATCTCTCTCAGAATTACACAGTTTACAGAATGTGAACAGAGCTATGCAGCAGAGGGCAATTTAGGAAAATGTACTGATGGAAGGTCAAGGGAAGCAATTCATGCAAATGATTATCAAAGGACCATATGTTGTAATTTCTGCCAAAAGAGGAAAGAAAAACTTGATATCGGTATCAGGTACCAGTAAAGAAAGGAACAAAAGACAACACCATTGTTGGCAGTAAAAATAGACATGGCTAGAAGAAAAAGACTGTCTAGAAGATGTGAGGAGAACAAATCTCATTTGCAGAAGTGGAATTAAAGAGGCAGTTGTTTAAAGCAATGGCAAACCCCACAGAAGGCTCAAAATTTCAAAAGAAAATTACAGCACAGAAATTGTGTGTAACAGACAAAAGGAAATGCTTGTTTGCTTTCACCTTGTTTAGATCTGTCTATCATGTATAGTTTCTAAAAAGGACTGATTATATCAGAACCCCTATATCTGCATATAACAGCACTCCTTGTCAACGGAGCAAGACCAACCACTGGGGTACACACTTGTACACACTCCAACATACACACTCTTCCCTTTGTTCTAACAACCAGCAGGTTCTTCTAGAACACCTGACTACTGGAGATGATTAAGCAAACCTTCAGCAATTGAGACCAGCAGGGTAATTAAAGTGAGATAAAACCATATCTATTACATGCAATAATATCTGCAACTTTGCAAAGACCTTTTTAACTTAACCAAAATACAAATAAATTCATCTGGAAATTAAAAAAATGCAGCTGGATTTGAGATGTTGTTTTGAAAGCAGTGACTCAAATGTTTTAAGCTCATTGCATACGATAACATGACCTCTCACCATTAAACTGTAGCAAAGAAGAAAATAAGATGCTACATCCTTTAGACACACACACAAGAGGTAACTTGAAATAAGGAACTTCTACATAGCACTAGTAGGACAAACAAGCAGTACTTTCTCAGATAATCTGTCATATACTATATAGTCAGTTCTTTCTCATTGCAAAGGTTGTAAAAGCCCTCCTAGCCCTTCTTTTCTTTGACAGTTGCATATACAGATGATCTAGGGACGAAACTCAATGCAACTAAAGTCTTCTGGCTTTTTATGAGAATACCAAAATGGTATCCTATGGCTTGAGATACAAGGTAGACAACAGAATAATTGTCTTGGTAGAGTATAGATAGTTCCTCCTATCTAAACACTGTGAAATTCAGTGTTTACTAGAACACGGCATTAGAATGTTCATCACAGTTACTAATAAGTTTGAAATCTAAGTAATTACGCTGCAGAATCCTAGGTTTCCAGAAGGTTGTGCAAACTAAATGATGTTTACCCTGAAAACAAGTCAAACAAAGCCAGACACTGTGCAAACTCAATTAAGATTAAGCAAGCCCAGAACAGGTGTCCAATGTTAAGATCCCCCACTGGAAATTAATGAGATCAGCATGACTTGGGATAGGATTGCAAGGTACAGTAATTCAAGGCATCACCTATTATGCCTTATTGCTTACATATATTTTATAACAATTTGAACCTCCGCACTACCCTGTAAATTAAGTGCAATGTTTTGAGCTATATTACAGACACTAATGTAATGTTACTGAGCTTAACTTCTAGATATACTTTTGCCTCTTCAGAGAAAGGTGACAAATAAAAACAATGGCACAGAGTTAACCTTGTTGTTGCCCTCCCTTAGTTTTCAGTGTGTACATGCATACATTCACACATAAGAAACAATTCACAATCTATGTAAATGTCAAGAGTCTGATCTATTGACTACTATACATCAGTGTTCCTGCCATGCCACCATGTCTCGAGCTTTTAACATAGGCTGATCATGGCCACAGATTTTCTCTGAGCAAGCAGTTGATGGGACAGACTTACCTTTCCTATATTTATATTTGCCCAGTCCCCGGCAGGCTTAGGGTAGTTTTATTCATGTCTTAGAAATACCTGCCTTGTTGAAACATTTTTGCATCATTCTGTGTTTTAGACAAAAAAAACAACAACCAAACCCTAAAGAGATTTATTTCCTTTTCCAGGAATTGATAAATTCAGAGTGTATTTAAAGAAAAAATCTCAAATCAGGTTAGAAGTTCAGGCAGTGCAGTTTCTATTTGTTTTAATTAGATTTTAATTTGAAATTATATTCTAGTAACTTCTGTGTCTTGCAAAATGAGTAATTAACTACTGAATTCTAATTGCTAGCTGTAGGCACTGACATGGAAAATTCATTTCCTTTTCCAGGAATTGATAAATTCAGAGTGTGTTTAAAGAAAAAATCTCAAATCAGGTTAGAAGTTCAGGCAGTGCAGTTTCTATTTGTTTTAATTAGATTTTAATTTGAAATTATATTCTAGTAACTTCTGTGTCTTGCAAAATAAGTAATTAACTACTGAATTCTAATTGCTAGCTGTAGGCACTGACATGGAAAATTCAAGTCTTAGGTAAAATGCACATAAATCTATTTTTTTACTTGAACTTATATAGATATATGTACGTATATACTCATACATATAAGTACATATAAGTACGTATACATATATTATAGTGTAAGTTGAAATAGCATCATCTGTTTACAGTGGTTGTACAAGAAGAGCATCTTAATTCAAACAATAAAACCATTCAGCATAATTAGTGTAATTTTTTATTATTTTTCTGTAATTCTAATTCAAACAAGCAAGTTACATAATAATTATTATCGTCTTCCTCAAGTAATAACCTCAGAATTACTCTTGTGGGTTTTAGTATGGTTTACCTACATAGATCAGCAGGCAGGCATATAAGCATTTTTCTGCTGTCATTTCGATATTGAAAGTTAGCCTTTTATGATACTCAATTAATTAAGGAATTATTTCATGGAATATAAATATGATAAACACTAGATAAAAACAAACAT